TATTTGTTAGCTTATTTGTTAGCTTATTTGTTAGTTTATTTGTTAGCTTATTTGTTAGCTTATTTGTTAGCTTATTTGTTAGCTTATTTGTTAGCCTATTTGTTAACTTATTTGTTAGCTTATTTGTTAGCTTCTTTGTTAGTTTATTTGTTAGCTTATTTTTTAGCCTATTTGTTAGCTTATTTGTTAGCTTATTTGTTAGCCTATTTGTTAGCTTATTTGTTAGTTTATTTGTTAGCTTATTTGTTAGCTTATTTGTTAGCTTATTTATTAGCTTATTTGTTAGCCTATTTGTTAGCTTATTTGTTAGCTTATTTGTTAGCTTATTTGTTAGCCTATTTGTTAGCTTATTTGTTAGCTTATTTGTTAGCTTCTTTGTTAATTTATTTGTTAGCTTATTTTTATCTTATTTGTTAGCTTCTTTGTTAGTTTATTCGTTAGCTTATTTGTTAGTTTATTTGTTAGCTTATTTGTTAGCTTATTTGTTAGCCTATTTGTTAGCTTATTTGTTAGCCTATTTGTTAGCTTATTTGTTAGCTAATTTGTTAGCCTATTTGTTAGCTTATTTGTTAGCCTATTTGTTAGCTTATTTGTTAGCCTATTTGTTATCTTATTTGTTAGCTTATTTGTTAGCTTATTTTCTAGCTTATTTGTTAGTTTATTTGTTAGCCTTTTTGTTAGCTTATTTGTTATCTTATTTGTTAGTCTATTTGTTAGCATATTTGTTAGTCTATTTGTTAGCTTATTTGTTAGCTTATTTGTTAGCTTATTTGTTAGCCTATTTGTTATCTTATTTGTTATCTTATTTGTTAGCCTATTTGTTAGTTTATTTATTAGCTTATTTCTACCACAGTCAGAAGCATGACACATGGCATCCGAATGGAAGCTATTTTAACATCCATCCATCCATCCATCCGTCCGTCATCTCTCCCGCTTATTCCCAGCTGGCACTGGAACAGAGGCGAAGCGCATTCTGGACGGGTCGCCGGTCAATATCAACATTGCGGACAAATATCGGAGATTCTGGCGGGTCCAGCTATCACTTAGAGGCGAGGGTCCTCACACGTGGCCTCCGGGGACTTTTTTTTAAGCAGCTGTCGGGGAAATAGTGGCATTGATACACCCTCAGGCTACTTTCACACCCTCTCACTTACTTAGAATCTGACCGATATAAGGCGCCATCTTGGACGCTGACCGGTCAATCCCGCGATAACAAACCGCGGGTTAAATAAACCAGATTAGTTTTTTCTGAGGCTCTTATTGATTTTTACACTCGGTCCGTGGCCGCATCCTAAAAATACGGCGGCTGGATGGGGACGGATAACCGTTTTCGTCACGCTCTTATTTCAGCTTGTCGGGGCCCCCCGCTCGGGCTCTGACCCATGGCTCTCATTTGCAGCCTTTAATAGTCGTCCATATTATGCTCTAATCTGCCTGATCCCAATTTAATGCCGCTCCCTGAGCCACGCGTGGCAGGAATGCTAAACAGGAGCTGGTGGAGAGTCTTCTTAATGTGTGTTTGAGTTATCAGGGTGGGGGGGGCGAGAGGGAGAGATGGGTGGGGGGGGGGGGGGGGGGGCTACATCTGGGACTCTCTAGCACAGCAGACGGGGGTTTAATCAAGTCGTTTGCTTTCACGTTTAAACCCTGGGTCGCTTCCATTTTACCTACAAGTGCCGGTACGGATAAACATTGAAGAAAGTCCTCCACCGTGGTGCGTTCAGTGTCACCAGGAAACGTCAGAACTGCTGACTCAGTGACTCACATAAGACTTTATGTCACCACTTATGAGATGAGTCACTGGACTTCTCTTTGTCATTAAGTTAGGGATCATAAAACTATTCACTTCATCCTTAATGGTTCTGTTACCTCAACAAAATCTGGAGAACCAAAGCATATTTACAAAAACTAAACCTACCAGGTGGATCACATGGGGATTGAGCCCAAAATGTTCCCTCACAGAATAAATTTAGAACACAAAAAACAGCAACTTCAACAACTACTACTACTAATAATCTTTTTTTTGGTCTTTTTTTGGCTCGATGGAGAACAATTCTAGGATCTCTGGCTCAGTCCTAAACCGTCTTCCGATTTTCGGATCTTCGGTTTGATTCCTGGATTCGCTTTATCCAAATGCCTGTAATACAGCGCTTTTGTCATTTGTGAATACAAAAACCGTGGATCTTGGTGGGATACTGCATCTTTTGGGGGTTTTCTGGGGTAAAACAGGACCCGATCCAAACTTTCAGAGACACCTCCAACTCAAGATGTGCTAATATCTCCCCGTAAATCCCCAAAATCTGCATCTTTTTCGCTGTAAATGTTGAGAAATCTGCTGAAACGATGTGCAAACGGACACGAGATGAACAGAATATAAAATGAGGGTTTCTAGCGTCGTGCACACTGGAGGCTCAGCCCTTTATTTGAATGCAGCTCCTAATAAACTGCTCTGCGAAAAAAAAAAAAAAAAAAAAGGAGAAATCCCTTGAGCCACATTCCTCATTTTTACAGCCTCTCATTTATCTGTTCTTTGTGCGGCTTTTTTCTTCAAAACAAAAAGAACAAAGCAGGTCTTGTTTAATGACTCTGATTCTAATTAACACGGAGAAATAATAATAAATCAAATGCAACTGGAGGTTGTTTTTTTTGTCGAAATTGGAGCATAATCCAAACAAAACTTTCACGAGAACAGTGTAACAAATGCACAGGTTATTTATGATTATTTCAGTGCAATAAAGAACTGAACTAAATCAT